CCCTTAAATTCAGTATCCCCAGATAGCCCTCATCTAGGGGAACAACATAGTGAAAAATCATCCCATACGGTGATAGCGTTCGGGAGTTATGGGACTTTAAAGTTTTGACCGACCGCATAGGCACACTAGCTGAAAATAGTTCCATAAGTTTTGGCCTTGCGGTCGGTCCTCGTTCGTGCGATGAAAAGGCACGAAAATCCAGCCATCTGTATGTATCTTGTTGATCGCTGGAATCCCCGCACGTAATATATCCTTTCTACCGAACGGCCGAGCATTCGGTAGTTTCAGCACGAATTTACGATGTTATGGAGGTCTCAGCGGTGTTCGCCTACTCGAGAGTCCGATTTTAGTTCCAGACACTCGACGGCAAATCACCTCTGCTTGTGCGTTAAGATGGCCGCGAACACGTGCAAAGTACCGAAATGGCGGCCACCTTGAATCAAAAACAAAGGATTCGTGCATGTCTCATACGAATGGTATATGCCGGTCTGGGAGGTAAAATACCAGATAATTGAACAGCAGGGTGGTCTAGGCAAAAATAATGGGGGTTTAGTTACATTATATGATCATACATTGCATAAGCCTGCCACATACATCTTTGTGCCTGCTGAGTCTCTACCGCATGGATTGCACAAATAGACGAATACTGGCAACATAAATCCCGAACTGTGCTATAATAATCCACATAACATTATTAGTTTTTTTTAAAACACCTAATCTAGGCAAAAATAATGGGGGTTTAGTTACATTATATGATCATACATTGCATAAGCCTGCCACATACATCTTTGTGCCTGCTGAGTCTCTACCGCATGGATTGCACAAATAGACGAATACTGGCAACATAAATCCCGAACTGTGCTATAATAATCCACATAACATTATTAGTTTTTTTTAAAACACCTAATCTAGGCAAAAATAATGGGGGTTTAGTTACATTATATGATCATACATTGCATAAGCCTGCCACATACATCTTTGTGCCTGCTGAGTCTCTACCGCATGGATTGCACAAATAGATGAATACTGGCAACATAAGTCCTGAACTGTGCTATAATAATCCACATAACCTGGTAAGTATATTCCCTCGTATTATTAGGCTTAGTTATTGTCAAATATGTCCAGGCAGAAAGTACAGTTCTGTTACAATTAACACTACTACCTCCCAGTATCCCCACTATTCACACTACGCCCCCAGTCTACCCATCATTCACATCATTCCCCTGTCTCCATCTCCCCACTAATCCCCCCCAGTCTCAACACTATTCACACTACGCCCCCAGTATCCCCACTAATCACTTTACTCCCCCCACTCTAATCCACTATTCACACTAGAGGGATTTAGATCAAATGGCAGTTGAAATTTAATGTTGAAAAATGCAAAGTTATGTACTTTGGCGTAAAGAATGCACAACCAACGTGTACCCTTAATGGAAGCGAATTAGGGATAACAACACATGAAAAGGACCTGGGAATAGGCCCTGGGGAGTCAGCACAGCTAAACGGACAAGGGCAAATGTATGAATGTGGGGATGGTGTTAGTGATTGGCTGTATGTGTTTAGGGGAGTGGTTATGTGTTTGTAGTGGGACAGGGATCATCTTACCTCAATGCCTCTTGGGAATCTGGCTAGCAAACAACTTCACTCCTATTTGTCCTGGGTCTGGTGATTTTACCTGCTTGAGGGATGACTGTGGATTCAATCTTGCTGCCCTCAGAGCTGCTGCTGCTGCCCTGGATGATGGCAGGCACCTTCAGGAGCAATGTGGTCCCTGTGACAGATCCCTCTGTCTTGAAACTGTGCCTATAACCCGCTGGGTTTGTCTGTTTTTTGGTTAATTGCCTGTCCATACCCCTCATTTGTTTATTTCCTAAACTTGGAAGTGTGCTTCTGGTTAACCTCTTGGCCTCATTAGAATGTTGTGTTTAACCGCACACACCTCCTAATTATCAACGGTATGCTGGGTGGTCGTCGTTCGTATGCCGACCATGAGGTGGCGGCCATCTTGGACGCACGAATAATCAGTGGTATTCGTTCTGCACAAAATGACTTACCCCAGATAGCCATCCCATGGAGCCCGTTCGTATACCGAAAGACAATGTGAAATGCTTTGGCTCCATGACGATTGAACTATGTGTAGGATCTGAGCACCATTCGGTAATAATGTGCGCTCAGATCGAAGCTATCTGGGGATACGTTAAATGTGGTTATTCTATTCGTGTAATTTGGAGTTATTGATTTTTATGTATTTTTATTATTATGTACAAAATGGAGTTTGGCCTCTATCCGTGGAGATAATTGGATTACTTCCCAATTATCTACAGGATAGAGAGGAGGGTTGTTCTCAGCTAAAGGGGAGTGTTTATGCTTGTGCCACTGTGATTGGCTACTATATCCATATTGTCCCAATCTTCCATCTGGTCCCCTAGGGGAGTGTCCACCAGGTGAGAGACCTGCATAAATACCGGGCAGGTAGCCCTTAATAAATCAGATCTCTGCTTAACCCTCAATACGGAGCATGGTCTCGTACTTGGGGGTATTGGATTCGTATGATTTACTCGTTAAGCTGTTTGATACGTGAAGGATTTCATTTGGTTCCTGTTTGGCTGATTGGAGCTTTTGTTAGCTCTCTCTCCATTTGGAAGGTGAACGTCCTCAGCGGTATTAACCCCTTCTATACCTGGGTGTACCGTAACACTCCCCTCCAGCCTGGTGTGGGGGGGAGTGGCTGTGGGTGTGTGTGTCGTCCTACCCCCCCCCCCCCGCGCGGTCAGGCTTCTGCTGGAGCCTTACGCGGCTACAGAACTGTAGGCCGCACAGGCCGGTGCTCCCACCCTCCTGCTCCCTGGATTGGATTCAGCGCTTAGGGTCTATGAAAGACTGAGCCTGGGCCCTAGGCGCCACCAGGCCGTGTGTCTGCCCTCTTGTGACACGCGACCTGCTCCCTCTGGAGTTTACAGTGCGGTCGGCGGACCTGCAGCAGGCCGGCGGTGGTGAGCAGGCCCCTTGGGGCCATGTGGGGCATGGCTGTGCAGCCATTGGGGGGTGGAGGGGGTCCACACCTTATGTGTGTCCTCAGGGTCCAAGGGACGGCTGGGGGGGGTCCTCCTCTCCTCCCCCTGCATCTGTCCACTGTTTCCCCCTCTCATTTCCCCCCCTTGTGGTGTCTCCCGGTCCTCTCTAGGAGGGGGCCCCTTCCTCTGGGCCCCCCCACCTCTCTGGTTAGTTTCCTCTGCCACCCCCCCTGTTTAGCTCTCTCTCTCCCCATTCTGCCCCCTCCCTGCCCCTCTGTGTGATTCTATGCAATTCTGTGCCCTCTCTTCCGTTTTTGGCTTTCCGCCCCCTCCCCTTTGTCTCCCTGTCTGTCCCCTCTCTCTGTGTCCCCTGCTGGTCCCTATGTCCCCCCTCTCT